GGTTCCATGCCCATTGCAGAGCCCGACAAGGAGCTCAATCTCATGATCCTGAGAAGATGACCTGAGCCGAAATCAAGAGTCGGATGCTCAATGGACTGAGCCACCCAGGCTCCCCAGAGGATATTATTCTTACCCTCTGCATTTTCTTAATGCTGCTTTTTTTACTTCCCACCCCGACCTAAAACCTGGGAATTCTTTGCCCTGATGATTTTATTTCCCTCCAAACCCTCTCCAACTTGTCTGTAAAAACAGTCTTGACACGGTTATGTGTGTGTGGTGGGTTGCGGCAAGGGGGTAGGTGTGAGGGGGCCTTTCTCTAGTAGGGAAAGATTCTTCCCACTTCTCAGCTCACAGAAGTCAGCAGAATTCCTGCTCCTCACATGTTTTTAGACAGCAGGGAAAGTGTCAGAGGCAAGGAAAAGACTGAAGATGAAAGCAAGAGAAAGAAAATTTATGGAAAAAGTCCCAGAGGAGATAAGAAGAGAATGTTGTGAGATCATGAGCAGAGGTATTGACCTTAAGGAGGGGGAAAATGGGGGTTTGCTTTGTCTGGGGATGATAGAGGGGGAAGAAAACTGGAAGAAATTCTGAGGCAGAAAAGAATTTGCAGGAGTAGCTCCTACCTTCTCAGTAAAGCAAGAATGGAGATTATTTGCTGAAGTAGGTGGGCTCGGGTTGGGCGTTTGAGAAGAGTAGAAACAATTTGAAGTAGTTTTGGTAAACATGGTCAGGGAGCCAATGAATAAGGTTGTGGAATGGCAATGGGCATTACCTAGGTTATCTCTCCCCCCACGCACCCCCTCAAAGGACGAAAAAACTATTCAGTTTATTTCGCGTATGACTATTAGCAAATAGTTAGGCTAGGAAGAAATGAAAAAAAGGAAAGGATCATATGACGAAGATCCACTGGGAGAGGGTACTGGTTTTTTTTTTTTTTTTAAGATTTTATTTATTTATTTGAGAGAGAGAGAGCACATGAGCCGGCAGAGAGGCAGAGGGAGAGGGAGAAGCCGACTCCCCGCTGGGCAGGGAACCCCACCACGGGGCGGGATTTGATCCCAGGCCCCTGGGATCATGACCTGAGCTGAAGGCAGACGCCTATCTGACTAAGCCACCCAGGCACCCCGAGAGGGTACTGTTTCATCCTCACTACCAACTCCTCTGGTTCAGGCCCCCAGCAGATGAGTACCTGCAACCACCTCCTACTCAGCATCCAAGCTTCTGGCCTTTCCCCCCTCCAATTCATCCTTCATTGCACTTATCATCCTATTGAAATGAAAGAATAATATTTCTAAACCATAAATCTGATCATGCTGCTTGCCTTTGAAAATTATCTTGTATGACCCTTAGCATGGTGTTCTAGCACCTTCTCGTGTGCTTCCATAGCTTCATCTCCTGCCACCTCCCATTTCCCACCCATATCCCTACCTTAACTTAGCCATACTTAACTAGTACTTGCAGTCCCTTAGCAAGCTGAGTTCTCTGCACTTTGTGCCTTTGCACACGCTTTCTCTCTACCTACCGAGAAATGCCCGACCTATTGTCCACCTAGCAGAGTCCTGCTCAGTGATACCAGGATGGGTCTCAGGCATCCTTCTAGAGGTTATCAAGGTGAAGCCACAGTCAGAGCTTGTGGCCCAAACTACTTCGATTTTTCTCTGCCCTCCTCAGGGAAATAGTTAAAGCTAGCCTATGTGCTTGCTCTTATTTGTCCAGCTGTCCCCTGGGTGCGAAAGAGTCTCCTTGGGGTTTAAATGTCAGAGCGGACTTATGTGTCTAGTTGGTAAGGAAAGATCTTACCTCTCCTGCAACACAACTAGAAACTGTCTATCCCAACACCCTCCAGGAAACAAAACACACAACTCTTCTCCAAATGCCTCAGGAGACCAACAGCAATAAGGTATGTACCTTCGGTGGCCTGTGAGATGGCACATAGTGAAAAGCCCACAGGAGCTAAGCAAGTTGACCAAATACAGGAAAATAGAGAAGTACCATAGGTTACGTGGGAACCATGGCAAACTGGAGAGCTCCATCTCATCTCAAGATCATTTGTCTTTTCCTTTTCATACTCCATGCACGGCCTTAACCAATTTCTTTCTTTAAAAAAAAAAAAAAGATTATATTTATTTGACAGAGAGAGAGAGGGAGAGAAAGTGCACAAGCAGAGGGAGAGGAAGAGGGAGAGGGAGAAGTAGGATCCCTCCCGAGCAGGGAGCCTGATGCGGCGCTCGATCCCAGGACCCCAAGATCATGACCTGAGCCGAAGGCAGATGCTTAATCGACCAAGCCACCCAGGCGCCCCTATTTCTTTTTATTTTATTTGTTTATGAGAGAGAGAGAGAAAGAGCAGGGGGAAGAGCAGAGAGAGAGAGGGACAAACAGACTCCACGCCAAGCGTGGAGCCCGACACGGAGCTCGATCCCAGGACTCTGAGATCATGGCCTGAGCCGAAACCAAGAGTCAGATGCTCAACCGACTGAGCCACCCACATGCCCCTTAACCAATTTCTTTTGTGGGGTCTGCTCACTTGGAATTCTTCAGGGAGAGAACTCTGGCCTCTAAGGTCCCTGTGTCGCTAACCAAAGGACGGGAGGCAGTTTGAGTAGAGAAAATAGCTTGAGAAAGGCACAAAGGATAGAATAACTACCTGGGGAATTCTTCTGCTCTAATCACATTTGTCTCAGTGACCTACCTAGGCCTGGCATCTGTTCAGGCCAGGACTGGATGAACGGAAGCCCTTAGGAGTGGTTCATCAGGTGGACGTTGCCCAGAGAGATCGAGGATAAGTCAACCTCCATCACACATCAGCTGTGTGACCTTAGACAAGTCATTTAACCTCACTATGTCACAGTGCTTTATCTGTAAAGTGGGGACGATACGAGAAGCTATTTTAAGTGTGTGGTGAGGATAACATGAGCAAATAATGTGTGCAAAGCCCTTCCCATTTTCACAGGAACCGTTGATGCCTTAAACAGAAATAAGGAAGGGAGGTCTTGTCCATCGTGATGGGGTCAGTGGGAAAGAGATTTGGGGAAGCCTTTTCTTATACCCCTCAAAACAAACTCTGTGGGCTTATTTTCGTGGAGGCAGATACTGTCCTTTTCTATCTGCAGGCTGAATGCTTTCTCTTGAGGTAGAAAAAGAAAAAGATTATTCCAAGGGCCCCTTGTGATGTGGATAAGGTCACCTGCAGCCAAAGAGGGAGCAAGTACCCCATCCTCCTCACTCTCCTTCCTCCGTCTAGACCTAGACTCTGGTTGTGTTTGGCCTACTGGTGAGCTGGTGCCAGGGTGAGTAGTGAGTCCGGGTGAGTAAGGTTTGGTGTATGTCTGTTGTGGTCATTCTGCATCTGTGCTAGCCCAAATAATTTCTCAGATTGTTCCCTCCGGTTGTTCTTCGAGCCAACTCTCCCTTCCAGGTCATTCCAAGTCAGTTGTAAAGGACTCCTGGGGCCCTAGGTCTGGATGGTGTTGAGAAGCCCTGCAAGCTGCCAGGGCTAAGCCTGGGGCTGGGACTCAGGGCCAGTCCCGGGCTAGGCTGCGGAGCTAAGAAATGCTCCGTTGAGGGTGTGTAGATTGAGAAGCTGGATGTGCTTCCAAAAGTTCCTTCAGAAATCAAAGGCCCTTTCTGGGCCTTCGTGGAGGCCTGGCTGCTCCTGGTTTGGCCAAGCAGGAAGGGCAAACAGCTCTGAAAGCCTATCTGGGGGGCGGGGAGGGGGCATTTGGTTCCCATTTTGTTTGCTTGTTTTATAGAGATTAGGCCTTATCGTTAAACTTGTACTGGAAACAGCAGCTGAAGTTTTTAAAAATCTCATCTCAAAAGAAAACACACACATAACTTACACACTAATTATTTCCTAGCTGAGGATTTTCAATAACAACAACAACAACAACAATAATTCTCAATCCCTGTAGACACTCTGTAAACACTAGCCCCAGGTCTTATGTTCTGATCTACATTGCAGTGCCATCAGAGCTTATAGAATTTTTAGATGCAAATCACTGAAGTTAAGCAACACCCCCAACCCCCCCCCAAACCAATCTGTTTCTCTTCTTTCATGCACCCTGTTCTCAGAAGTGGAAGGAGGAAAGAAGAATGCTTCTCTTATCCTTTTCCCTGGCCTGGAGCTGCTAGAGCTTTACGTATGAGTATGTTTGTTCGTGTAGGAGGATGGGGATGGTGACTTTTTTTTTAAAAGATTATTTATTTATTTGACAGAGGGAGAGAGAGTGTGTGTGTGCACACAAGCAGGGCGGGGGGCAGAGGGAGAGGGAGAAGCAGGCCCCTCAAGGAACAGGGGGCCCCACACGGGCTCGATCCCAGGACCCTGAGATCATGACCTGAGCTGAAGTCAGACACTTAACGACTGAGCCACCGAGTCGCCCCTAGCGATGGTGACTTTTTGACTGCTATTCAATCCATCCATCCATCCGTCCATCCATCCATCCGTCCATCCATCCATCCATCCATCCATCCATCCATCCATGCATGCATCCACCCAATTTACTCATTTAACAAATATTAAGTAACCTACTGTGTGCCAGGCACTCTGTAAAGGGATATAATCCCCTCTGTCCATTGAGTGGATCTTCTGAATTCTCTCAGGGTGTTTGGGGCTTATACCCTCTTCTCTTCAACAGGGGTGATAGAGGAGTAAGGGGCTGGTGTGGACAGAAGCGGGGAGAATGACGGGGGTCGTTGCTGAGGTGAGGCATGGAGGAAATATATTCTCTCCAATCATTCAGGGTCCACTTTGTTTCCTTCATCGTGGAGGTTTTTTCCTCCACGTAGCTCTAACAGGGGTGAGCCGAGAACTTCGGGGATGACTGGAGGTCTGCCCTGGCCCAAGGCTGTGCCTTGGGTACCAGTGACAATTCTAGAGCAGAGTGTTTCAACCTCCAACACAGAAGCCGAATCCTGGACTGGCTACTGAGGGACACTGCCAGCTTCTGGCTCTGAAGTTGGCTTTGGCTCTGGGCTAGATCTGGGGAAGTTGGGGCCCAGGCTCCTCACTCAGCAGCTCGTATTGATCTCCGGGCCTCTTTTGTCTCCTCCTCCCCAGTGGAAGCCTCCCCCCCCATCTCCCCCTCTGCCTCTCAGCCTCTTCCGCTTTCCTCCTCTGCTTCTCATGAACTGAAATCTCCGCGAGAGCCGCTGAGGCTCTGGTAGTTTCACAAAACTGTCCTTGCGCTTTCTGCATTCACCCAGTCAAGGGTACCTTTGCTGGAGGTCAGAGCAACGCCGCTAGTCCTGATGCGATTGCATAGCAACACCCAGCGGCTCTGAGAGCCGAGGGGGAGGGGGAGACAGCGAAGAGGGCAGCAAGGTGGGAGAGACGGAGGGAGAGTGTGCCTCCAGCAGCTGGCGGCATCCCTGTCTCAGGGACTCCTTTGCTGATTCACAGAGGCAGCCCCGCGCCGGCCTGCCGGCGGCCAGTTACAGCCTGCTCCTCAGACCTGCCGGAATCCGAAGGTAGGCCACGGAGAGATGATGCCCCAGCCTTGCCCTTTCTCCTTATTCGGCTGGCTGAGGGGAAAGGACTGAGGGAAGGGACGCGCCGGAGGTACTGTGTGTGTGTGTGTGTGTGTGTGCGCGTGTCTGTGTGTGTGTGTGTGTGTCCCCCTACCTGCTGCCTGCATGTGCCTTTGGGGGGAAACTTGCATTAAAAACAAATGCCCACGATGAAGTGGCCACTGCTTGGACTCCGGGGGAGGGGGGCGGACAAAAAGGTGCCCAGGAACAACAGAAACTCAAGCCAATGTGAGCAACTAATGAATAAGAGGAAGGTCCACAGTTTGCTTCTTAGAGAGGAGAGGGCTATTCTTTCTTTCTTTGTTTGCTTGCTTGTTTGTTTGTTTGTTCATTTGTGTTTGTTCTCAATGACATGCCTTTCGTCCAAGGGTGGATTTCCTGGCGGGAGGGAAGGGAAGGGGTGTGGAAAGCACTGGCTGCAAAGGGAGGAGAGAGGAAACGTGGGACCTCAGAGCAGGTCTCCTGAGCAGATGAGTGTCTAGTCCGCACACAGGACGCAGGAGTAGACTGGGCTCTGCCTTAGGAGCCTGGTGCTGAAGGCGCATCCTACTCTCCGCCCTTGCTTCCTGGTTCAATCCGTCTTCCCTGAAGCCCTCTGCTTCTTCCCTTGCTTTCCTTCCTACCCCATGCGATCAGGAGGTACCTCTGCACTCCCGAAAGTGTAGCTTGGCGTGCTGTGCAATGGGGCTCACCTCTCCTGGAATCAAGCACCCTGCTCCTTCTGGGCTCCGTACCTTTCCTGGCACTGGGCCCAACGCCCCAGCCTGGGAAGCGGGCCCGAGACTTTGTGGGTAGCTACGGTTTATCCCGCCTTTGGTAGGCAGGCAGGGCTAGGCCTCTGGGCGTTGGGGACAAGCAGGTAGCTGGGCTGGCCTGGGGCGGGGTGGAATCGAGACAGCAGCTGCCGCCCATTTCCATCGAGAGCACGGTGCATGCCGAATGCAAGAGAACGGACTTTTCTGTTTTCTTTTGGATCGTTCAAAAGAACCGAAAGCCTTTAAAAGGCTCTAGGTCTAGTTCACCTGAGTTCCTGACTTCTCCAAAGGAATCCTTGTTTCTAGACTAAAGGCACTCAGGTACATCACCTTTTAAGAGGCCCTGTGGGATATGGTTCCAAAGAACTTGGGAGCCTTCTAAGGAAACCCTCCCTGAAAAGGAGGTGCTGTGAGTGAAAGTGATAAGTGTCGTGTCCCTGAAAGAAGACAGAGTCCCTCTTTTCCTGGCTGGGTCCTCATCTTGCTTGCAGTCCTGCTTCCTGCAAACTCTTGCAGGGGGTGGGGGAGAAGACACATGGAAAGTTGTTCCCCCAGGCACTCTGCTCTCCTGCCAAGTATCTCTGGAGCTCTGCGCCAGAGCACCCTTCGGTTCCAAAATCACCCAGAGGAGGAAGTATGGCTTGAAGCAGCAAATTTAACAGAGGCCCAAGAGCCAGAATTAGAGAGTGTATTTGCGATGCAGCACTTCTAAGTATAGATCCCCAGAAGTTTCTGATGTTCAGTCTGCCACAGAGCCAGATAGGAGGGGCTGTCACTCATGAAGCCCAAGCAGATAATCCTTCTCAACTGGCTAGGGACACTCAGAAGAAACCCATTCTATGGGGAGCTATACAGTGAGATGACATTCCTCCCTTATAAGGGATTCTAACCCCACGTCCGCAACTGAAATAGCAAGTGAGACAAATTCCTTCTTGGACAGCACTGAGCACGCTGATGTCTCACAGAACACTGTTCTGAGAGAATGTTAATAGATTCTGTTTTTAAAATAAGGAGTGGTGGTGCTGGTAGTGTGGGGGTGCATTTCTTTTGTTTTTGAAAATGCTTCAAAACCGAATTCTCCTCTTAAGAGAGTCACAATGTATATATAAGCATATTAAAAGGCTCTGAGCTGGACTGCCATAAGTAAATCCGTTTACTTTTGTTTAACCCAGTAGATCCCAAATGGATTTGACCAGGGAACGCTTTTCTACATGGAAAACACTTTAGCAGACACAGTTTTGGGACTTGCTGCTCAAAAACCCAGAACCAAAAAAACCTGGGAGAAATTGTCACGTGGAAAAAAACTTAGCAGATAATCTGGTCCAATACTGTCTTTTTAAATGCAAGAAAAATTGACAGACTAATCAAATTGTTCTCCTTTCCAAAGCTGATGAGTATCCGAGAGAGTGGAACCCTCATCTCCTGATTCTCAGTCTACTGCTGCTTCTCCGGCAGGTTCCCTCCTGTGAAACTAGTACCAGGAAAATGAAACAGGTTTAAGGAATCTTCCTGTCATTTGGAGGGCAGCATTGGGATCTTACACATTTCTTTTGGTATTTTGTTACATCCCAAAAGTGTGGATTCTTTTCACCATGAGATTTGTTGCATTCTTTCAACCAGTGTGCTGTGAAAATTTTTTCTATGCTCAAAAAGATACAAAGAATGACATAATAAGAATCCAAATACCCACCATCCAGATTAAGAAAAAAACATCACCAGTAGACTTGAAACCCTCTGTCTACCCTTCTATGATTAAAACTCCCTCCCCCCCCACCTCCCTCCGAAGTAACCACTCTCCTGGATTTGGTGTTTATGATTCTCATGCACTTATTTATACTTTTACTACATACGTATGTGTCTTTAAACAGCATATACCACTTCTTTGTGTGCTTTAAAAATTTATATCAATGGATGAAGCGGGGGAAATCGGAGGGGTAGACGAACCATGAGAGACGATGGACTCTGAAAAACAAACTGAGGGTTCTAGAGGGGAGGGGG